TGAGATATAACAATATTCATGAATTCAACGAAGTACCGAGCGAAGAAATTCAGTATACTCACAAATGCCCAAAGGTACATCTTATCAAGCTCTACATGTGAAGCCTAGAGATTGGGCACACTTACAAGATCAAAACTATAGAGTCTGCAAGATGAAAGGTAGCAACTGTTACGAGATTGAAAGGATTCTGACCACAAGTAGTGGGGTGAGAAGGAGGCCCGTACTTTGGACTTATTCACAGAACAGTTGCATAGATGGCAAGAGGACTACTAAAGTATTCGCAAGAGCTATGGGATACGAGAACGATAAGCACATCAGTCAACATTCGAGGACAAATGTTTCAAAGGAGGGAATGATGCTACATACCATATTTTTGTACATGAAAATATGCCATAAATAAATTAGTGAGAGCCCAGAAGTGAGATGTCACGTCCCGCAGTACTACATTACGATGATGTTGCACCCTGTAGTATTGTACGATGTATTTGCCGTAAGGTAATTGACATCAGTCCAAGGAAAATATTATTTGGAGATTATAAGGACTATGCTATTTCAACCAAGTAACAAGTAAATTCGTGAAGGTGAGAGGGGAAGCAAGTCAAAGAAAATGAATTTTCATCCAAGTTTGGCATGTTGGGATAAAATACGGCCCGAGCTAAAATACTCGGTATTTATGGACTAGTACCATACAAAGTACCACATGACCATAATAGTAAGGTATATAAGGTATGTGAAAAGTGAGCAGTATTTTAAGTAAGTGAGAATAATTCTCAATTTTGCGGGTAATTGATTAATTACCGGGTAACGGAACATTACCCAATTAACTAGTAAGTGGATAAATATTTAATAAGTTATACCCTAGTAACGTGGCAGCCCACCTTTCCCAATTTAGTGACTCTTATGTCACATTTCAAGGTGGCAAAATTTGTGAGTTTAGTGGCTTAGTCATCCCTAAAGTGGGACCACTCACAAGGTAAACAAAATCAATCTCCTTAATTCATTAAAGGAATGGATGAGCTTCAGCAAGATAAGTTATACAATATTTGATCAAATTCAAAGGCAGAGATATCTATTCTCAATAGCAATGTGACATTTTCACATTTGGAGTTGGCAGTAGTAATTGAATACATTTCTGCTTGATGTATTATGTGAGGCTTAACTTTCTCTATCATGGTTGATAACGTGCCAAAAATTCTTAGAAGACATGGATCAAGTATCTTGGGAGATATTCCAGTTGGAATGGGATAAAGTTGATGAATCCTTACAGTAATATAGGAGGAACAAAAAATGATTAGGAGAGCGGGAACAAGTATTTCTCTGGTGAAGTCACGTTACAGATGCTTGCTCTGGTATGTTAAGGCTATCCCTTTTTTCTTCTGGCATGTTTTATACGATACGAATGAAACGTGCAAATGCACAAATTCCACGAATGACTCTATTCATAGAAGTATTAGAGATATATGTGTTCTTGAATTTTCGTGTGTCATAATATTTTATCTTCTGCTCGTGGGTCTCAGAATAATACACAATTAAAAAAGTTTATCCAGAAGAAATATTGAGATTATTATGTGTTTTTCATGCATTTCATACATGTGCATTGACCCATGATCAGATGGCGTTTTATAAGCATATATATATGTAAATATATATATATAGGATATGGGAAAAGGATACGACGTTATATACGCACCACCACCTGATCAGCTGGTACNACGCACCACCACCTGATTAGCTGGTATACGATGATGATTTTGCCCACAGTGGCCGATATGATATAATGGGATGCCCTTAGAGGCTGATGATGTTATGAAACATGTACCTATGCACGACATGGCATTCATACGCATATACATGACGCTAAAAGTATTTTATGATTTACAAAAGTTATTCAGACTTACAGGTTGAGTCATGTACTCTATATTTCTTTCATGTCTCTTATGTACTTATGTGCCTTACATACTCGGTACATTATCCGTACTGACGTCCCTTTTGCCTGGGGACGCTGCGTTTCATGCCCATAGGTCCCGATAGTCAGGTCGATAGCCCTCCGAGTAGGCTATCAGCTCAGCGGGAGATGTTGGTGTGCTCCATTTGCTTCGGAGTTGCTTGTTTGGTTAGTATGATTTAGATATGTATTGTTTGGTATGGCGGGACTCTATCCCGACGTTTATAAAATTTATGTACTCTTAGAGGCTTGTAGATATATGTCGTATACGTGAAAGATTGTATGACCTTGTCGGCCTATGTTTGAGTTTATAAATGATTATGTTGGCCTACTAGGCCCCTATGTCACGTGTATATAATGATGTAATAAGAAAGATACGTTACGTTGGTACTCGGTCGAGTAAGGTACTAGGTGCCCATCGCGGGCCATCAGTTTGGGTCGTGACACATAGGTCTCACGAGTCATAAGCAGGTTTAATAGAGTCTTGCGGATCGGTACGGAGACGTTTGTACTTATCTTCGAGAGGTTGCCAAACCCTTAAGAAACTTCACGTTTTTGTATTCTTGTCGTCCGAATCTGTTGATTCTGGTAACTAAACTTTTATTATTCCATTCTCTCATAGATGGTGAGGACACATGCTACCGGACATGATGGATAGCCACCAGTATCGCCAGTTAGGGCCGCAAGAGGCCGAGGTCGCGGTAGGGGCCGCTGTAGGGGCAGAGGTGCAGCTCATACACTTGCAGACTCACCAGTTGCTCCAGCTCAGGAATAGGTGCCAAATACAGTTGAGCTAGTAGGGCCAGCTCAGGCACCAGTTGTGCCTATTGTGATTCCAGATCTCTAGGAGCCTTTGGCTCAGATTCTGACCGTGTGCACCAGTATGCTTAGGCGGTCTCAGTTCTGGCTGCAGCAACCACTTCTCAGTGGGAGGTACTCAGACTCCCGCAACCCATATACCAGAGCAGGTGATGTACGGGCTCTAGACACTGAGGGCTCTACCAACCCAATTGGTTGCAGCTGCTCAGGCCCATTCGGTTCCTATTATGACTGATGATGAGCAACGGAGACTAGAGATGTTTGGGGGGCTCTAGCCTCCATCTTTAAGTGGGATAGAGTCGGAGGATGCCTAGGGTTTCTTGGACAAGTGTCAGAGGATTCATCGTACAACAGGTATTCTGGAGACCAGCGAGGTCTCGTTCACTACTTTCAGTTTTCTGGGGCTGACTTTAGATGGTGGAAGGCTTATGAGAGATGCAGGCCAGTTGGTACAGCACCACTTACATGGTAGGAATTCTCTGTTCTCTTCTTAGAGAAGATCGTGCAGTAGTCTCGCAGAGAGGATCTGCGCAGATAGTTTGAGCAGTTACATTAGGATGGCATGTCTGTGATGCAGTACGAGATGAGGTTTTCTGAGTTGGCTTAGGAGGCTCATTGATGGCCTCACATATCAATTACAATTGCTTATGACCGGGGAGAGGGTGTCTGGTGATACTTTTGATAAGGTGGTCGACATTGCTCGGCAGATAAAGTTGGTCCGCAGTGGGTGAGAGGGAGGCCAAGAGGCCTCATTGATCGAGTGGTTTTAGTGGTGTTCCTTCTGAGGGTCAGTTCTACCACGGCAGAGGACGTCCTTTTAGGCACGCCTATATGGCTTTCCTAGTTAACCGTGGTGCATCATCTGGCCATGATTCATACACTGCACATCAAGGTCAATCATCTCTCAGTGCCCTTCCATCTTAGAGTCTGTCTCATGCACCATCAGCTTAGGGTTCATTTGTACCGTACCGGGTCCTTAGTTCTCGGAGTCCGTCTCTGTATTCACTGCCATTCACAGGGAGAGGTTGTTTTGAGTATGGAGATTTGGGTCATATCAAGAGGTATTGTCCCCGCCTTTAGGGAGGTCCAGCTCAGCAGAGGAGTCGGCCTAAGACTGCATCATCAGTTACTTCACCACCCGCCCAGCCAGCACAGGTGGGGCTCAGGCAACACTACTAGAAAATGGGCCTATGGGAACAGTTATTTTGGTAACGGTTCACAAACCGTTGCCATAAATCAGATACAGTAACGGTTGAAACCGTTACAATAGAATTTGGGTGCTATTAGCACACTGTTGACATCAAACCATTGCAAATGTAACAAAACCGTTGCCATAAAGTTTTTGTTTCACAACGGATTTGTAAACCATCCCAATAGAAATGTATATGGCAACGGTTTTGGGAAAAGAATTGCTATGGGAACGGTTATTCATTCCCCCTCATTTTTTCCGCTGAAAATTTACTCGCGCGCCAAGCTAATTAATTAAGTGACCTGTATTTTATATTTTTTAACTAATTTAATACAAAATCCCTCCGCCCATCGATACACCCAAAACTACTCCCCAGTACTGTATCCAAACTCCCATCGTCGAACACCTAAAATCCCCTCGTCGATACACCAAAAATCCCCTCTCTGATCTCTTTTCTTTTTGCATATTTGCCGAGTTTAAGATTAATGGCTGAGTTTCATCAAATACCTCTTCATTAGACCTCCATAATCATCAAACCCTAGAGTTCCCAAAGCCCAAAACCGTGAGGACAGTCGGGGTCTTTCCGAAAAATCTCAAAGATACTTTCGTCGGTCTTTCCGACACTTTTTCAAGGACAGTTGCTTCTCTCGCACTCCTTCCCCAAATTCCCAAATTCTAGAATTAGATTTGTGCTCGAATCAAAAGAAGCCCAAAATCACCATAGCCTGGTAATTTTCTTAATTCTTTTGGTCATTTTTACTATTTTTGTTACCAATTCTATACGATTTTACTGTGTTTTTTAGTTCTTGGCAAAAAGGTTCTTAATTCATGTTGTAGTCTTTTGGGTTCTGTGTTTAATTCATATTGGTCCTGTGTTTTTAATTATGTGTTTAAAAGTGATTTAATGAGGTGAGAAAATATTTTAATTAATCATGGTTAAATGCTAGAAGTTTATGAACAATTATATGTCATGTATCTATTGAATTAGTGCATGTCGTCGTATAAGTATTCAAAAACGTTGTACACGAAAAAAGGCATCGCTGGCGACTAAACTTTAAGTGGTGCCATATAGGCGCCACACACAGCTCATAAGGTTGACATAATTCCCAGCGTTTCAGCAACTCTTGATGAAAATTGGTTGACTTCTTACACTTTCTCTCTTTACGCAACTATGTATCACGAATCTGCCCATATCCCTATTGAGCTTGATTTTGTTTGTGAATATCCATTCGGTAAAAGCTATACAATTTTAGTTTCTGTATTTCTTGTGATTCTGATCAGGATCCGTGTGTTTGGAATCCATCGATAAGAAATATTCCCTCTTTAGGAATTGATGTACGCGATGGAATCGCCTCTATTGAAACCTTACTGGCTGCTTGCCTCAAGCACAAAGATAATACATGCTCTTCTCCTTTGTAATCTGTAGGCAAATACACCAAACAATTTTTACTAGTATTTAATACATTACACCATCCTTCCATAAGTGATTTCTTCTTTGATCCCAAAAATCATCAGAAACAAGTACTACACTTTTTTAGGAATATCATAACATCCACCGAGTATGAAAAGATTGTATAATAGCAATCTGGTGGTTGACAACACAATAGAAGAAGGAAGTAGAATCCAATTCAATTCTGGAGAACAAGATGTGTACCATCTCTAGTGACTGATAAATATTGCTAGTCAAACTATCAAAAACCAATGACGACTCGTAAGCTCTTAGTTGGGATTTTTCTTCCAACAAGAGTTGGGTCTAGGAAATTCACCTCTAGGAGCTTTAAAAGAAGCTGGTTTTTCTTGTGTAATCTTCTCTGAAACAAAAAGTGTGGGAAAAAAATATTTTCCTTGACTGCAATTTTCTGAAGATATACATTTTCTAACTACTTACTTGACATCCACAAGGAACTTAATGGTTTTGATACTTGACATCCCCATAGTGTCTACTACTGCATTGAATACTAGTGTTTAACTGTTTGAATTGAACGAGTGAATAGCTACTGTTGGTTGAAAGATTGATCAGATTTGTTTATGAAATATTAAGTTGCTGCTATCAGCTCTAAACTGACTTGGAACGCCATCATCTTTGCGAGCTTGTAATCCCCTGAAGGTTGTCGATTAAGCATACCCAGTTATTTGGTTTGAAATCTGATAGTTGTTGTAAGTCACTGTTTGAAAATTGCTACTGCTGGTTTAATACATGAATTGTATGAATTGTTTGAAGTTGCTGCTGATTAATATAGGCTGCATACCAAGAAGGTGACCCTCTAACGAACCATTTGGCATGAATTCGTACACTAATATTCTCTGATCACCATCTGAACAATATCCTATTAAATTGACAAGGTTGGAATGATGGAGAAGACTCAACAACAGGACCTCCACAAGGAACTCTTTAGTTCCTTGGAAACCATTCCTGTCAAGTTGCTTCACAGCAACATCCTAAGCAACACGAAAACAATACAACAATGGTTAATCGGTTTTCCCATATTTTTGTTTTAGAGTTGAAGAAATCAACATCAATTTTTGAACAAATTAAAGAAATATGGGGAGAGTACCATATTCTTGCTTTTAATATGGCCTTTGTACACTTTACCAAAACCATCAGAACCAAGCAAACACTTACCGTCGAAGTTTTGAGTTGCAAGACACAACTCGCGGAATGTGAAGGCCTGAGCTGCAATATTCCCCTTTCCAAATTTTTCTATTTCTGAAGCTATGTATCTCCTTCTACTATTATCTGAATATTTACCACAATTACAAAACAGACAATCACTCATGATTTGATTGAACTAACATTAATACTTAGTTTTCATTAGTCATTCCAAAAGTTTCAGCCAAAAAAACAATGAACATCCAATTGCAGGAAAACGCAATTGGATAAAAGACTCATTATAACAAAGTATCCTACACTGTAAACCTGTGAACATGGTTGATGAAAATTCTGATAAATCACTTGCTGCTTACTTTGGAAGAGTGCCTCATAGGCCTCCAAATTTATGGTTGTACGTATTCAATACTTCTCTGTTTCTATTCTTCATTTAGTTTTTGCACCACTAATGCTCTACAGTCATGACTTTTATTCTAATCCTATTACTGTTATCTTCCAGTTTGTTATTCCTATTTTCATCAATTGAGGTATTCTTTCTGATTAATTGAACATGGTTGCTGATTAATTGTTTCAGTTACTTCAGTTGTGCTATTCATACAATTGAAAATTCTGCACTTTGTGAGTTGCTGTCCAGTGGTTGACTCGTTTATTTGCAGAAAATGTCCAAAACCAATACAGAGAATCGAAATAGGTTGAAGTGTCCGCACACTGCTGGCAGAATACCTTTTGCTCTAATTCGCAAGGTTTGATGTTTTATCTTTCTTAATTTTTTTTAAATTATGAACTTGCTAACTTTATATGGAAAGATTCTTATACCTTTTTCATGTAACTAGGAAAAAAAGAAAATCTTTGATACTTCAGATACTTTGTCAAGTAAGGACATCTTTATGGCTACAAGAAAAAGAAAACTTGGCCAAGTATACAAAAGCTCATATGACAATATGATTAGTAAAATTGTACGAAATTTCTAATTTAAAGTTTGTCGTGATTATTTATTTGTTCTTAATTATTGATTCAATTTTAGTTACTTAAAACTCTTTTCTCTCGCATTTGGTATGTAGGCTGAAATGGAGATAATACAATCAACTCAGGAAAGTGAAGATGACACTCATTCAGTTGACGTTTTTGCATCAATCATGGGACCTGAACATCCAGGTCGCGTGAGATTGTATGGACGAGGGGTTACCAAGACTTTATTAAAAGAGGCAAAAGGGAATCTTGGATTTTCTTTAGATGCCGATGAGAGGATGCAGTAGAAAATAGAGGAAATGGAAGAGAGGATGCAACAAAGAATGCATGAAAAGTTGAACGAACAAAAGGATGCTATGGAACAAAATATTACAATGAACGTCATTGCACGACTTCAGTGTCTGAACTCAGATTTGCGACTTGATCCTGACATGTTAAGGTTCAGTGCACGTTCACCTGTATATGCTTCCTCTGCACAACAAGCTGCTGTTCAACTAAACAGTCGACCATTTGCTAGTAGTAACAATCAAGGTCAGTACGTACCAAATGTCATACATCTTCTTCCATTTCTTCTCCTCCTCCTTCCTTGCTTGGGATTTTGCTTTGGTTCAAGGCAGAGTGGATATGGTAATATCCTTTTTTTCTATTTAGTAGGAGTATATGATTTTTTAAGTGCCAAGTGGTCTCCTATGTATAGTAATTATACCTGAGTAATACTGCAGTTCTATGATAGTAGAACTTTGAGAATTTAAATTGGAATAGATAGATAGGTTGATGCTTAAGACAAAGTTATGGAATTGACTTCTCTGTAGCAATGCTGAAAGACAAAGTTCCCATGAGCTCCTAGGTCTTTGATCTTCCTGATGAGGTGTGCTACCTGTCATGCTATTGTTGTTGTTCCATTGATCGTTTTAATATTGTGTTCGATTTTAACTTCTGAAAAAATTGTAGTAATATGTAAGATATTAGCTTATTGTGTGTGTATATATATATATGTTGAGTGTCACATTTACAAGGAATGGAAAAACATATTAATTGATGATTGATGAAGCATGTGTTGCCATAGGAGGAACGACCACCCTTATTTTGTCTCCTAATTTTCCTAAAGAGGATATTTCAAGTTAAGTAAACGTTACCTCTTTGCTCTATGATTTCATTTGGTTATATAGTTCATATGACTGATTAAGCAGGCGTTTGGACAATATATACTTGAGTTGACGTTGAAACAAAGTTGGTAGAAGACTCGAAACTGAGTTAGTTGTGTTAACGTGAATTTCATATTGAAAAATTATTTGTTAAAGTTGAAGATTTTGTGAGAGACAACCAGTATTGTATTGATCTAAACTTTCATATTAAACTAGTATTTCAATGTTTTACTTGAAGTTCGATTTCTAAAGTTTATATATATCTTTTATTTGCAAATACTAATGACCTAACTAGTATTTGAAGAGAAATTCATATGCGCATTAGTTTACCCCCTTTGAAAATTATGTGAAGCCCATAAATACTTGGAAACAGAATGTTAAAAAGTAAAATTGACAGTAGGGTGTAAATGATGTTATTGAGTGCAATTCCACCAGCACATTGGTATACCCATTGTTAATACACCAATACACTCCATTAAGAAGGGCTTTGGCAGAGAAACTGAATGATAAACAGAAACATGCTCATGTTCTCTAAGCAGCTAGGCATGTTACGTGTGTGGTTTTGTTGATAGAGATGTTTAAGGTAGTTGATATTTCGTGCTGGTTTTGTAATTATGTTTGTGATTCTTCTTATGCATTATTATTTACTTTGCCATCATAGCTTGGTAGTTTGAAAGCCTTGGTCCTTGGTAATAATATCATATTGTTATAATATTGCGTATAGTTTGTTGAGATGAATAAGTTAGATTAATAAAAGAAGAACGAAAACAGTTAAATGCTTGAGTATTCTTAGACCGGATTCTATTGAAGGGTAATAACTTTATTTATCCTCTTTTGTAGGTGGAGTAGATCAAGAAATGGATGATGAAGATGATGAAGAACTAGACCTTACTTGAAATGAATTTTGTATTGTTATAGATGAATGTTCTAGGAATCTTTTGTTACCAACATTTTTGAAACTTATTTACTCTCTTGAGATGTACTAAACTTATGCACTCATGGAGTAGAACATTTGCTTTATGGATATTATTTGCTTGATGGATAATTTTGTATTATTAATAGTTTCATTTTATGATGTATTTAAATTTTAGTGTTATTATAATTTATTATACGTATAAATATTTATTTATAATAGGTGTTATATTTTGGTTTTAACTGAACTGATACAATAGCCTACCAGAACCGTTGCAATAGGACACAAATGGCATTCTAGTAGACAATGTAAACCGTTGCAATAGGTCCCATAAACTGTTCCAAATAAAATATAACCGTTACAATAGCCTAAAGAAATTGTGGCTATATCCAACATAACCGTAGCAATAGCTTACATAAGTGTTGCTTTAAATAATATGGTAACGGTTAAAAATCATTGTATAAATAATACAATAACAGTTTTAAACCGTTCCAACAGAGAAAGGGAAAATCATTGTGATAGACGTATCTATTGTCACGGCGATGCAAACCATTGCAAGAACTATTCCAGTAGACCTATGGGTACGTCGGCTGATGTGACGGTCTTTAAACCGTTGCAATATCCCTATGGCAACGGCTTGGCAATATGTGGGAACAGTTTTTCAACCATTGCCGTGGACAAATTTTTTAGTAGTGCAACTAGGGGTCTCCCTAGAGGGGAAGGCCGATCAGGGGGCAGCCAGGCCTGATACTATGCAAAACCTTTAGGAAAAACTTCATATTCTTGAAATTCTTGTCGTGCGAATCTATTGATCCGAGTACTAAACTTCTGTTATTCTATTCTCTCACAGATGGTGAGGACGCGCTACCGCTTAGGATGGACGACCACCAATACCACCAGTTGTGGCCACAAGAGGCCGAGGACATGATCGTAGTCGTGGTAGGGGCAGGGGTGTGGCCCGCATAGCAGCTAGGGCAGCATTTGCAGATCCACCAGCTGCCCCAGTTCAGGATCAAGTCCCAGTTGTGGATGCTCCAGCAGCACCAGTTCAGGCACCAGATGTGCCCATTATGATTCCGGGTCTTCAGGAGGCCTTGACTCAGATTCTATCAGTATGCACTGTCCTAGCTCAAGCGATCTCAGTTACTACAGCCGCAGCTACTTCTCAGGCCGAGGGAGGCACTCAGACTCCCGCCGCTCACACACCTGAGCAGGTCGTGCAGGGACTTTAGACACCGGGGGCACATCTAGCCCAGCCGGTTGTAGCTGCTCAGGACTATGTAGTTCCTGCCATGCCAGAGGACGAGCAGCGTAGGTTGGAGAGGTTTGGTAGACTTCAGCCTCTGACTTTCAGTGGTGCAGAGGGCGAGGATGCCTAGGGTTTCTTGGATAAGTGTCAGAGGATGCTTCGTACAACGGGCATTCTGGAGATCAGCGGGGTCGCTTTCAGTATTTATCAGTTTTCTGGAGCTGCCTTCACTTGGTGGGAGGATTTTGAGAGGCGTAGGCCTGTTGGTGCAGCACCCCTTACCTGGCAGCAGTTCTCCGTTCTCTTTTTGGAGAAGTATGTGTCGTAGTCTCGCAGAAAGGAGATGTACAGGCAATTCGAGTGGTTGCGTCATGGAGATATGATCGTGTCACAGTATGAGATGAGGTTCTCTAAGTTAGCTCGCCATGTGATTTGGTTGGTTCCGACAGATAGAGAGAGGATTAGGAGGTTTGTTGATGGCCACACTTATCAGCTTCGTATTCTTATGACCAGAGAGAGGGTGATTGGTGCGACTTTTGAGGAGGTTGTAGACATTGCTCGTGAGATTGAGTCAGTTCGTCGCCAGGAGTGAGAGGAGAGGGAGGCCAAGAGGACTCGAGGATCTGGTAGTTATAATGGTGCTCCTTCGAGAGGTTAGTTTCATCATGGCAGAGGTCGTCCATTCAGATATGCTCAGCCAGCTCGCCCAGGTTATCGTGGGGCGTCAGCGGGTCATGGTTCTCACAGTTCTCATCAGGGCCAGTCATTACTTGGTGCCCTTCCAACTCGGAGTTCGTCCCGTGCTCCATCAGTTCAGGGCTCTTCTATGCCAGGTGCATCTGCTAGTCATTCCGGTTCTAGGGGTTCCCTTCAATCCCCGTTGTAAGCACGTGATTTTTGTTTTACGCGACAATCACTCCAAAAGAAATAAAAATAATAACAAATGGTCTTGTTGTACAATTTTTGGATTTTTACGTGGCATTTTGTTAGTTACTTGTGATCTTGCCCGTGTTTGTTTTATTCAAAACAAAATATAAAAAATATATGTCGTGCGGACCGTGATCCGTTTATTAAAAGAAAAATAAAAAAAATGCATCTTTTATTCTATTTTTCATTAAGTGATGTTAGTGTAATTAAATGTTAATTGTGTGATAACTGTTGTTCTATGTTTTATATAGTATTATTTGGCAAATTAATTTAAGAAATTAAAAGAAAAAAAAAGATAAGGATTTTCGGATCAGGCTATTCCAATTTAAAACAAAACAGGCCCAAAACTGAACCAAATCAAGCCCAAAACCTGTGTTTTGCCCGGTCCAAACCAGCTGACCCTAGGGGCGTCCAAACGACGTAGTTTTGATCTGGTCTGATCTGGGCCGTTGATCTCAGAATGATCAACGGTCAAGATCACATCCCCCATATCCACAAACAAACCCGACCCGTTCAACCTTGGTCCAACCCAGCCCCGTGCATTTGAAACGACACTGTTTCCCTTTAGTAGATAGATCACAGCCGTTGATCATCAGCAATCCAACGGCCAACATCCAATAACTCACCCTCGTATATAAACCCTTCCCCATTTACCTCGCGCCTAAACCAAACCCCCCCTGCCTTAGGTCGTCCCCTTCACAGACCCCAACCCCGGAACCCTAGAGCCGCCCCCTTTCCCCTGACCAAAAATCCAGTGGCATGGACGTCGGTGACCCCCGCCTTAACACCATAGATGCATCTCACCATCCTGAACCCAAATCCACCAACCACTTAGCTCGAAT